TCTATTCATTTTCATCAGCTACCAATATTAGATTTCAAACAGTGACCTTGCTTTGTCTTTTCCTGCCAGACAGGTTGGTTTTAACTGCTTATACACTTATACGGACAAATACAGGAAGACAGTAAGGACCTTACATCCACAGGGCCTCCTCCTCAGTCATAGGTCAGAACAAAAACCCTAATCAGATAACGATCAGGGAAAAAAGGCTCCAACAAGACTCCAAAGTTAAAAGTAGCAATGTAAATACGTACCTTTATCAGGGAAACATTTCAGAACAATCAAAAGCAGTAAGGTTCATGTTAATGCTGGACATCCGGTTACAGAAAACTGAATACAATAAACATCAAAACATTCTTAGTCCCATACAAATATAATATTATGCCTCATCCACACATATAGGAATTAATTTCCCCTTGTTCATAATCTAACCAGTATGTCACTTATCTCATGTTTTGCACACAGTGTAATAATTGCAAAACAGCCCGACTGGTTCTGCCAGTGTCCGGTGGAAAGACTGAAGAAAATGTTTATGCAGATCATCAAACAGTGTATGGTTGTTCTTGTCGTGATCTGCTGGGAGCACTGAAAACCTTTTAGCTCTCATCTTCTGATGTGATAGATTTCTTTAGCATCTCAATAGTGCAGCTTACCATGAGGACAGAACCATGCTGGTGAAATCTCAGTGTTGTGTGTGTCTTTGGCTGAGAGGTGTGTTGTAAAGGTTGAAATGGAGAATGAACAGATAAGCAGACAGATGACCATTCATCACTGTGTTTGAAATGAGCTCATACACACAACTGGAAGTTTTCAAAGTGCTTTTAATAAATATGAACCTTGGAAGTCACCTCAGGTGAAGGCTTCATGGTTTAACAGTAAGTGTGTGTGTGTGTGTTTTAGATTGCAGCAGATGTTCGCACAGCCAAGCGAGACCTGAAGAAAGCTCGCACCGTCCTGCAGATGGACAAGCTGAAGTGCAGGAAGAGAGTCCTGCGACGCCTCGGCTTCGCCAGTCCCTCCGATGTGATCGAGATCAAAGGGAGAGTTGCATGTGAAATCAGCAGGTAGGAACGGGTTTGGGTTTGTAGGAACACATGACACAACTGGACACAGAAACAGGGAAACTGTCATCATCGTATTTCCCGAAAGCATCATGAGGCTGAAATGGTCGTTATAATTGATCCAATCTTCTGAAGCTCAAAATGTTTTTCCACTAAAGCAAACGTTAACACATGATGTTGTCAAAGTGGAATTTCAACCAGGAAATGAGGCACCAAGCGAGTTAAAAAAAGAAACAGAGTGGCTCTGTGTTAAATGAACAGGATCGATGTATCGATGTTTGAACCTTTAACCCAGTGGTTCCAAATGTTTTCTTGAATGCCCCCCTTCAGAAGCTTTAAGATGTTCGACCCATCAATTTTTTAATCTATGTGATTATTGTGATTGTGATCTATGTGATAATCAGTGATGGGGGGGAAGAAAAGAAGGATCCAAATACAGCACCTTAGTGTCATTAGAGAACCACTGCTTTAAACCGACTTGTCTTTCCCTTCATCACATGCATAGAGCCGGCAGGTTCTATCTGTTCATTCACTCTGCGATTATCTTCCCAGTGCTGACGAGCTGCTGCTGACGGAGATGGTGTTCAACGGTCTCTTCAACGATCTGACGGTGGAACAGGCCACCGCCCTTCTGTCCTGCTTCGTCTTCCAGGAGAACGTAGGAACAAACAAACACACTGACAAGACAAATCGATTCCTCTAATCCTCCGTACAAACAGATATTAAGCCTTTTTCCGAAAGCTGAGATAAATAGTTGATGCTCGTTTCCACACACTCGCACTCTAATCGCATTCTTGGCCTCTTGCAATGCTCTGCAAACGCAACAGAAACCTGAGGTTGATGTGTGTTTGTCTTTCCTAATGATGCCTGTTCTCTCAGTGAGCTCATCCAGCATCAGATGTTTAAAAAAAACTTCACTGGCTCCGCATCAGCTCAGTCGTCTGAACTCAGTGAATCACGGCTCACTTTTGTGTCTCAGGGAACGACGACAAGCAGCTGTCATGTTAGAGTGTGTGTGTGTGTGCGCAGCTGCTGTCTGTCATCAAAGACCACCTGCTGCTGTTGTGTGTCGTACATTGAACATTTTACAGTTTTAGCCAAATTAAATGAGCAATTTAAACAGTGCCTTGTGAAATCTGAGTCTGCACCTTCTACTATTTTCACACAAAATATTTGATGATGCAAATAATGTTTAGATTTATTGACAATAAAAAGTCATTTTTAATAGCAGCCCAAATATGTTTTGTGTTCCTGAAACGAGGTGTTAACACTACTGCACAGAAACTCGGGTGTCTCATTCGTACGAAAAAACTTTACTGACAGATGCTTTACATATTCTGTTCATGATACAAAGTGGGAGTGAATGAAGTCAGTTTACAATCAAAATTACTGAATTTGAATTTGAAGGTTTAAGAATTTGCATTAAGTTGATTTAAACCCATCCAGCCAATGAGAAACCAGCAGGTTTGGGTTAGGGTTAGGCTTTTGTTTGGTGTTTAAATCGGTTCCTTTTGTCTAAAAGCTCAAGTAGCGATATTCTGTCTAAAATCTAAAATAGCTGTTACATTATCAGTGATGTCTTTTTGTCCTCCAGGCCAGTGAGATGCCCAAACTGACTGAACAGTTAGCCGCACCCCTGAGACAGATGCAGGTGAGCCGACACAAAACGATCCCACGTTTGATTCTGAAGGTTTGAGTTTGGAAATGTTTGTACCCATTTGTGTTTTTTCTGTCTTGTTGTTTTCAGGAGTGTGCGAAGCGGATAGCCAAGGTGTCGGCAGATGCTAAGCTGGAGATAGACGAGGAGACTTATCTGAACCAGTTTAAACCTCACCTGATGGATGTGATCTTCGCGTGGGCCAATGGCGCCACGTTCGCTCAAATCTGCAAAATGACCGACGTCTTTGAAGGTGGGTCACAGAAATCAACATCCAACAAACAAAGTGGAGGTGCTTCCTCCTGGCCAATGATCAGAGGTGGAAAAAGTATTCTACTGAAGTACTTTACTTAATTTAATCTCTTTTATGCTACTACATTTAATTAGTCAATATTTCACTTATGTTTTCAAATTAAGATTAACGTTTTAATGTTTATCAAAAAATATATTTTAGAAAGAGAAAAGTTTTTTTGTCATCAATCCCCACTTTTCTTACCAGCGCACTAATATATGATAAATAACTGAATATGTCAATAAAACTGGCTCCACCTCATCACGTGACTCCTCCTGACACAATAAAACCTCACTATTAAGCACATAAGTATCAGTTACATGGGATGTTCTGTACTTTTACTTTGAAAGATCAATTCTTCTTCCTCCTGCTTAGCTACGACACAGTTCTTGTAGCAACAACACTTAACCTTTGATTTATTCACTGTCACATGTGCAGCCGCTCTGAGGCTGGAAGAGATTCACTAATTGATTTATTACGTGGTCTGATCTGATCCCAGTTCCTACTCCACCATTTTCCCCATAGTTTGTATCTGTTAACTCCCAACAATGACCTCATCTGTGAAATATCATTGGAGGAAGTAACGCTGAGTTGGGAAACTGCAGGGAGTTTGAGATCTGTGTGTGTTGGCAAAGGAGAGAGATGGAGGACATGTTTCTTGAGCCTTATTTCTCCAATCACTGACGTCAACAAATGACTGATAGGAGCCAAATCGGTGTTCGATTACCAGACGCTATGTGTGAACTCTTTAAAGACATGATCCGACACGTCCCAGCCTCCGATTAGATTTCTAGAAGGTACTAATCTAGTCACAGCTCTCTCTTAATACCTGGAAAAACTAAAACTAAATAAAAACTAAACTGAAACTAGTCGATTCCTCAAAATAAAAACTAAGCTAAAACTACAAAATCACTTGTTGAACTAACTAAAACTAAACTGAAATAAAAAAGCAAACTGAAAAACTAAATAAAAAAGCAAACTGAAAAACTAAATAAAAACTAATGAAACTATAATAACCTTGGTGACAACTACAGCCAATCAGAGCGGACACTACATACCAGTCAGAGTTTCTGCTGGTGAAAGATCATGTATTGTCCTCGGCCAGTCGTGTAGTATGAATTCAAAGAGACTTTAAGACTCCAGATCACAAGACACAATGAGTCGTGTAGAGACTTATAATATAATAAGCAATGATTAGTTCTTTCCTGGAAACTTATTTTCAATCAGGGTATAATGTGGAAACTACAAACATGTAGCATTCACATCCATTAGGGTGAGATTGAATGAATTCTAGTTAAATGTCAGTGAATTTGTGCAACAGTTACGTTTTTAAATAGATAATCTTCATATTAAACACTGTGTGTGGCACAGGGAGCATCATCCGCTGCATGCGTCGTCTGGAGGAGGTGCTGAGACAGATGTGCTCTGCAGCCAAGGCCATTGGCAACACTGAGCTGGAGAACAAGTTTGCTGAAGGTAAGAACGAGAAACAATCATTGGATTGATCGAAGCTATTAAGCCAATAATTCAGTTTAATCTGTTTTTGTTCAGTCTAATGTAATTATTGAAATGTTTTGAAAGAAACGTGTAAAGACATAACTTTAAACTGTTATCACTGACTTTTTTGTCTCATTCCCAACCTGTTATGGTTATAATGTCCTAAAAATGAAGTCTCTGTTCAGTGATGACATTTTTCATTAATGTTGGTTGACTTGTGTCTTTGCAGGAATAACAAAGATCAAGAGGGACATTGTTTTTGCTGCCAGTCTCTACCTATAAAACAGATCCTCTTCCAGCTCATTGTGGCTGCTGGAGGACACAAGCTATTTTTGACTGTTGCTCATGATGAGCCCCTGATGGAGCTCTCGGCCTCTGTTCCTTTTTTTTTTTAATTCTCACATTGGGCTCATGTCATTCTGCTTATTTACAAAATAATTTGGAATTTTGATGTTTTTTCCCCTGCATTTTAGAAAAGTAGTTCCACACATCTGGATGTCAAAGAAAACAAATCATGCTTTAATTATGTGACGACTCAAAACATTATACTTCCAACACTTTAGTTTTCACTGGTTTTCATGTTAAGTGAGATTTCTTTCTTTCTTTGGACGTCTGTACATATTTGTAACATTTATTCTCAATAAAAGTCTGTGTGTTGACTTGTTTTTACATACAGATTATACAAAAAGTACATTGTTGTTTATTCACTTGATGTCTATATCAGATCATAGATACTCAGGAAGCTGTGATAGCAGCAGCAGTCCAGCAAAGGCAACACAGGATTTAAAAATCGACCGTTGATTCTTCAGCTCTCTAACAAAACACAAGCTTCCTCCTCTGCTGCCTGGTGTTAGTCAGCTAAAGAGTCAGCGGTAGAATGGGTCTGGAGTCAGCTGCTCCACATGAGAAGGGTCTCGCCCTCCGGTCTAGGATGAGCTTTAGCCTCCAGCCTGTTGTCACGTTGAATCATACTCTTCATAATTAGCCCTTTGTATTAACAAGGCATTAAAGATTCTTCCGTGTCTCCAGGAGCTGGATGTTTTCTAAAAGTGACCCTAAATCAGATCTGTGAGCAGACTGACTCCAGGTCAGGAAAAGCACAAAGCAGGATACATTCACAGGTTTCTAAACTCCCCCCCTCTCTCTCCCCCCAGCAGTGGTCAGACCCTTTACAGTTGAGTGCATGCAGGCAAGTCTTCCCACTGGCTCAGTAGATCGATGGTTCCTGTCTTTACAGGACCTCTAGTCTTTAACCTACATCTTTTACAAATCTACCAGGGTGTTCTCCCCACTTCCCTCAGATGGAAACTCAGAGGACAAGATGGCAAATTGTCTAAAATCATAGAAGTCTTAAAATCTAAACAGGCCTGAGGTGTAGCTTTAAAAATAATGTTTCTTCTGGTTTGCACAGTCATCCGATAGCTTACTTAACCAAAAAAAAAAAAAAATACATGCAGAACCACAGAAAGACATGAAGTCTATATAACTACCATAAACTGTAAAAAAAACAATGCTTTTAAAAGAAACCTCCCTAATAGGCAGCATGTATGTGGACTCCTGCCTGTCAAAGTTTCCCTGTCTCCTGTGTGAAAGTCTCCCGGCTGTCCTTCAGGCCCTGGAGGCCTGTGTATATGTCAGAGGAGGAAGCAGCCTGACGATGTGGACACACAGGACAGTATATCTCTGACCCCACTGGGCCACAACCGCCCTGTCTCACTGTGACGTGCTCCGGAGGTGAAGGTTGATGAATTGAAAGAAGATGCTGAGCCCCTTTCACGAGGGTTATACGACCAGACCTGAGATGAAACGTTTTCACTAATAATTCTTTGTGCTTGTTTGAGTCCTTCTGTAGTGCCATGTAGACAGCCTGTTTCCTGCAGCAGGAAACTGTGACTTACAGGAAAGTATACTTATACTCATGCAACCTCGTAATAACACACAACATCATTTCTGTATACCTGCTTGCGGACACACAGGATGCATTCAAAGCATCTCTGCTTTGCTGCCAAAAAGAAATTAGCTCGCACATTATGCCGTCATGCATCATCCAGGCAATAGACTCAAAGCTTGCATATAAATCACAAGGAGGGTAATAGAGAATTCATTAGTCTTCCCTTTGGAAAGGTTGAAAGTTAGTCTCTTTAAATCCCACATCAAATCTGTTGTGTTCGTTTGGACATAGCTCTGAAACTGTTACATACAAAGTGTTGATTCTTTTTGCACAATATGACAGCTACACATTGATGCTAGTTCCAAGTTAAATATCCATTATTTTTTACAATGTATTATTCAATGGGAAATGTAAAAAAAAAAACACCTGAAGAATCAAACAAAACAAAAAAACGCCTCATCTTGCAGTGATAAAACTAGGATCTAAAAACTGGATCTAACCCTCTTCCTGATTCATGACAAAATTCATCCATCTGGTTTTCCAAGCAGGTCAGAAAAAATACTTCAGCGATTATTTGCAAATACTACACAGTATGAAGTGTGAATAAGTCACCCTATAAGCCTCATGCTCTAAAAGAGCTGTCCACGACGAGCAGGTCACTACTGTATCTGTCTACTGTGGTGAAAGATACAGGATACAGTGTGATGGAAAATCCAGAGTTTCAGAAGAAACATTTGGCATTGGCACACACACACACACACACACACACANAAAAAAAAAAAAAAAAACAGAAATCAAGTACTCCATACTGAATCCATGCAGGGTACGATGAAGAGAATTTGCGTGCGATGACAGGCTAGAGAGCTGGGATCCTGGGTGTGCGTATGGACAGAGCAGAGGTTTCCTCCTTCACCTCTCGCTTAGTTCGGACTCTCAAAGTGGTTTCCGTTAGTCGGGGTCTCCTGCAGGGTCGTGTGCGACATGTCCTCTTTACGGGAATCCACATGTGGCTTGAAAAAGTCAGACACGAAGAAGACCTGCAGGACGAGAGTGTGAGTTAAACATCTGCACCTGTGCTCTGCTCAAAAGCTGTTAAGTAGTAGTTTTGGAGAATACACTTTTTTTTTTTTTAATTCTCTTTATGTACAAGGTATCTTACAATTTACACTTTCTGAGACACTTCTGAAACTTTCTGAAGAGGCTGAATGTAGAAACGTTCATGTCAGAGTCAGTTGCTCCTTCCTCCAAGTAAAATGTCTGAGCTCATGTGTAATTACTGAAGGGAATCTGAACAGCGAGCAAGTGGATGTGTTTGTGATGTTTTAACATGTGACAGAAGCAGAACTGGAAGAACACATATATGTCCGAATGAAACAGACAAATATAAAGATTTGGACTGGCGACGGGGTTCAAAAGCTTTTGGTCATGAGAACGCAGAATTCGTACATCATGTGCCGCCCCTCGCAGGAATGTTACGGACAGTTTCTTATTGTTATGCGTCTGATGTGGAAAATCTCCTGCTGCTTTATGTCAAAGGCAAACTGGAAAATGTCCCGAACCAATTTCCGTGTCTGAAAACTGCTTTATTGCATCTAATAACATGAGAAAATGCCCCAGAATATGTTTTCCTTGTAAAGTAACACAGCTACAACACTTACCACCAGTAAAGCCATGAGGGCCCCCTGCAGGAGTCCAGTCAGCACGTCGCTCCAGTGGTGTTTGTAATCAGACACTCTGGACAATCCCGTGAACACTGTCGCAGCGATAAGGAAGAACTGGATTGTGGGTCTCAGCAACCTCGCCCACTCAACCTGGAGTCGAGCCTGCAGATAGAGCTGAGACAGACACGGGGCAATGATTAGAACAAGGAGCATGATTGTAGCAACATTCCTGCAAGTGTGAGAGGAAAATGAGCTGCGGTGATGTGAGGATGACTCTGAGAACTTCCATTTCCCCACAAGAGACGAGCTCATGATGTAGGAAAATGTCCCTGAATTGAGCAAACATCCTTTTTATGGCTTGTGTCATGGGCTCCACTGTTTTACTTTTTTTTCTTGATTTGATGTGAGAAAATCCTCTGCAGGCCACATTTCCCTTTGTCAAACTGACCTTAGAATCTGTACACTACAGGTTTATTTGATGATACAGGATCAATAATTGAATCTGATATCTGATAACAGCACAACCTCTGGAGCAGGATGATTTATTGTGTAAGACTCTTTGATCTGCTGAAGGTCATTTGGGCTGTAAACATTTGTGTTAAAAACAGGGAGTGTCTCTTCTTTTTGTTTGAAACACGGGCAAATGGTTGCTTTATTCCGACGCACTTCCTGTCACATTTCACCTCTGACACAAGTGCCGTCTGTTGATTTGCGACTGGAGAAAAGACAGATCTGTAGGTGAATGTTTAAATGTCCGCAGCCCTTTCTCATAATTGAACTTTGGCTCTGCAGAGGGACAGTTGGTGCCAGGACTTTGTCCCTGTGTCTATTTATATATGTGGCTGCTGCTGCTGCTGAATGAATGAGTGGCTAATAAAGTTTACCATCAGGGCTGGGCTGTGAAAATCAGCTCTGAACAAACACAGGAAACTCAAAGATGCTGCAACTGGCTGAGCAGAACAGTGATTTTAAAAGTTATAGAATCAATAAAAAGGAACAATAAACAGAAGAAAAAGAGTCAATAAAATTGGGTTCAAAGAACCCTGACACTAATATTACCAGACAGATGAAATTGAAAACAATTTTATAAACTAATGTCTAAAAAATAAACTTAATCAAAGGCTAAGATTTGTTTAAAGCTTTCAACACTTCCAGCTACTCTCAGGTCCTCAGGTACAGTGATCCAGCTTGGAAGCCGCCTCCATAAAGGTTCTTGTCTCACACTTGATTAATGGTTCAGTTCAGGTTATAAGCCCACAAATCAATTTTAAACTCTGGTTTTTCTACTGAATACCAATACCAATAACCATCATGAAGAAACCCAAATTCCCAAAATGTCAAACTATTCCTTTCAGTTGGAGTTGATCAATATGCACATATGGTAAATTAACACAACAAGGCAATGATCTTGTAGAAACAGTGCTCTGGTAAATATTGATGGATGTGTGTGTGTCTAGTGCAGGTACTTACAGCCAGGAACAACATGCAGTACATGGAGAATGAGGAGTGGCCCGAGTAGAAGGACAACCTGTGAAGGAAATACAAGAGAACAACTCAACACTTTTTCATTCATTTGTAATGAAAAAGGAAAACACGCTGTTTAGAAGACACGTCTTGTGTTATTATATGGATCATTATCAACATAGTCAAGGGCCCAACAACACCACTTACTGGTAGATGCAAATTTGAATGGAGTTGATGTTTACTGACAGTTAAGTGTGTTCGCAGGCGCTCCGTGCCTCGGTTACTTCCTGTTTATAATAGCAGTGCTGTGTTTTCATACTGTTGTCAGGTCATGTCTGCAGAAACAGCCTAGTTTGAACACACACACCCAGCGTATTGGAACTGGACACCGGTTTATTTGGCGTGCCACTCGACTGTGGCACTAGATGAGGCGCTCCTAGGCTTGGCGGGGTAGAATAAGATGAGATGTGTATTTCAGTGCTGCCTGTTACTGAGAGGCAGGTTTACTGAGCTGATAAATGTGGAAGGTTAATCCCTCAAACCGGACCACAGAGATGTGGAAAAACAAAATAGCTCCTCTGGGGGTTTTTACTCTGCCAAAATAAACAACAGTCAACCTGCTGAAAACTCCCCTGTGGCTCAGTCGTCTCTTACACAAATAAAGTTTACAACAACGTTACCTGTAAACACATCAATGACACTTTCTTTTCTTTGATGTCAATTAAAAATCAATTGATTAGTTGAAAATGATATTAAATGATTCCTATAGCCAAGCTGTGTTGTTAGACTGCTGTTTTCCATCCAGCAGCTGAAATACGCAAAGATATGAAGTTTACAATAAGAATTAAGGCTTGATTTTAGAAGCTGAAATGTCGGTTTGTAATTCGTCATCGTGGTTTAGAGTTCACTTGTTAATCATTCAGCACACCACTGGTACCATGGTAACACAACCCAGCTGACCACTGCGATGACAACGCCGACATCAGTGGCGTCAGATTAAAGCTTAGGCAGACCCGCAGAGAGCTGCACTCATTCTATATTCATGGTTTCTGTTGGCATGAATTATTTGTGTCTTGTGGATTCTTTCCTGACAAGACAAAGAACATTTTCTGTAAATTCTCATCCAACTTGATGCAGTTTTGACAGCAGGCCTCCTCTGTGCTGTGAAAGTTGAACTCTGAGGAGGAATCATGTTTCTGTAAGAGGATCCATAACCTGCTCTCTCCTCTGCTGCTGCTTCATTTGTTCCCTCTGTTAGTGACTGTAAGCAGAACATCCTAAGAGCCTCTGATATCTTCCTCGCCTCACCAGATTTTTCTCCTGACCTGCTGCAGAGGAAGTCTGTTTATGCCATGTTTTAAAAGAAAAAAATACAGACTGCCCTGTACGTAGCGATGAGGCTCCAGGAAATGCCAACAATTGAGCACCACACCCTCGTCCCTCGGTAATGTACAGCAGAGATACGGGTGGGTGGGAGCATTTCCACTCAGCTCTCAGACTCAGAGGCTGCAGCTCGGAGAGACACTGTCTGACAGGGACGGGAAACAATATGCACTCTGACCTCCGAGAACAATAACCTAACCTTTAAGAAGACCAGAGGAGAAAAGAGCAGAGAGTTCCTCATAAAAACCCTCAACACTGATTCAACCGGCACAGTCACCGTTCAGGCTTCCGCTTCTATTATTACTGCTGTTGTCGGTGGTTGTTACTAGATCAGAATGAGAAGTGGAAATCCTCTCCGCCTAGTTTGCTTCCTGCTGCTCTGAGCTGATAAGGAACCGCTTCTGGTCAAATCTCCAGCGGACAAAAGGTTCACACAGCATCCCACTAAACAACAAACCTATATCATCATCTGCGTGCACATCGCATAAGTCAACGCATAATCAGTCCGCACATTTATGCGGGGGCCGCATTTTTTTTCAAATACGCCGCACTTTCGCCACATAAATCGCCGATTTCCGCGCAAAATGCGCGAAACATGCGGGGCTTGCATGATTTCATAATCCCCGCACTTTCGTTGCAGAAAAAGTCACAGATATCTCCGCAGAAACCCGCAAAATGTTGCGTTTACTTCACACAGGAGCGGCCATTTTCCTCCTGTTACCTTGGGAACGTTATGAAGTGACGTCATCAGAAAGCTGCAAACCCCGCGACGAAGTTTGTGTAGTGTGTTGTGGTGTGTGTTTGTTTGTGTGGTGTGTTGTGTTGTGGTTGGTGTGTGTGTGTCTGTGCACTTTGTGCATTGGAAGCCCTCATATTAACAGATGTCTGTTTTGTATAGCTACCTCTGTAAATCAGGAAGCACACATTTTATTTTATTGTTTCATTCATTCATTTTTACAGAAGTTGTAGTTGTATTCTTTTGTTGAAGTAACTTGTTCGACTCATCAACATTTTGATGAGTATGAATGATGAGTATTAATGTATCATAGGAAGTCACACTTCCTATGATACATTAACGTAGTAGCCTAGTGAGAACAGAGTGTAGGGGGAAATCACTTCTCATTCATCAAACTGCAGTTTTTGCAAGTTCCCATAATTTCATCACATTAAATTGCATAAATATCCTGCATATTCCATCGCATTTTTTAAGAAAACGTGCCTCATAAACAAGGATTTTTGCCCAAAACAATCACCAGAAAACTCTGCATTTTTCTGGAAGGACTGTCTAATATCATCTTTCCATTTCTGAAATGGCAGAATTATGTTCGTATAATTATTCTTCAACTAAATTTAAATGTTTAGGTTGAATTCTACAACACAAAACAAAGAGTTATGATCTTTTTTTGACGGTTTAGTTCCAGTCTTTAGCTCAATATGACAAAAATGTAAACTTTTTTTCAGCCCAGGTTTCAAACTTAAAAAACAGACAAAACAGAAAAACTACAACTACCTTCAGGAAAAACAGAGAGGACCCTACCTGCCCTCGTTGACCTTTGTCGGGTCTCCAGTGCATGTGAAGTCTTCGATATAAGCCCCTGATGAACAGTTGATAAGTTCCCAGTTGGGCCTGCAAACGTCCAGGAAGTGTGGCCTGAGCCGGCCGATGGAATACTTGGCGATGTCGGTCAGAGACTGGCTCATGGCGGCACCAAAGAGAAAGGTACCGATGGCTTTGTAAACAGAAGCAATGTAGCTGCCAAAAGACGACTTGGATTTGATGCGAGTTAGATAAACTAAAAGGCACTCGCCAATGATCATCTGTAAGAGGGAGGGGAAGGAGGAAGGGAGACAGCGTCAGACGTATGCACAGATAAACGAACTCCCAAATTAAAATCAAAAAGATGCAACTAAAAGAATTCTACATCAGAGCCAGCAATATTCACTAATGCCATCACCACTAGCTGCACACAAAGCTATCTCCTTTATGTAACTGCTTTTAGAGGAATAGTTATTTGGACCATTTTTAGAAATGCAGTCTTTCTTGTTGAGTTAGATGAAGAGATGTATACCACTCTCATATTGGTTAATAATAAACGACAGCTAGCAGCAGGCAAACTAAGCTTAGCACAGCTGATGTGTCCCTGACCAAACAAAAATCACCTTCCCATCACACACTAGCTTTTGTTGTGGATTAAATAAACAGGCTACATCGTATCAATATGAGATAATGATATTGGTTTTTTATCTATTCGATTATACTTTATTGTCCCATAGGGACTTTGGGCCAAAGTGCTACAGCAGCTGCAGAACAGTACATTGTGGATGATTTTAAACAGTGTTTTCCTCTGCTTCACATCGATACACTAACCTAAGATAACCGCTAAGTTGGTTATGTTTTCACTGCCATTTGTGTCTTTCAGAAAGGTGACTCAAAAACTACAGAACTGATTTCCATGAACTTTTATAGAAATGAGGTTCATGAACTTCTTACATTTTGGAGCACTTCCAAGTATATGCATTCTCTGAGCATCCTTCTAGTTAACAACATGATATTCAATATCAAACCATTCCTTTAAATTCAATGAACAACAAAAAATATTATTATTGTTATTATGTTTTGGCAGTATTTCTACCAATACTGTTGGAAATATCATGACCAAAGGAAGGTGTCCACTTAAAATAATTAACATGAATACTTTAGTTCGCTGTAAAAGTTTATATTAGATAATGCCTCTTGTTGAGCCTGTACTTGCATGTGTGTTCGTAGTGCTGTGTGATACATCAGAGTAATGACTCATAATTTCCTCTTGTTGGCATTGTGCTTCAGGTGCATGTGAATGTGTTTGTTTGGCAACAGTGTGAGCAGATAACAGGCCTAGGGGACAGAAGACTTGTCTCACTTGACAGGACTTTATCGCTGCCGCTTTGCTTCCAGTATCTTTAAGTGCTGAGAATAAGAGAACTACAAACTTCTGCTGATGTGTCACTAAAGATTTATGTTGTCTGTTTCTCATAACTCAACTTAGTCCAGCTATACATTTTATATACAGTATGTTTACAATGGAGGATGAATGTCAGCGTTTTTCATTCATCCGTGGAGTTAAACCTCATTTGTCTTTATTTAAAGGACATTTTCACTGCTTATAAATACAATTGACTGGGTCTATTTAGCCTTTTTTTTTTTTTAGCTATATAGGTTTTTATCTTATTTATTCTACAGAATTAGGTTAATGCCTCACTGCTTGTGAAGCCTTGGCCTCATTAAGCATCTTCTTGTCAAATCGGCTGCAGATTTAGTTAGTAGTGGAAAGTTTCAAAATAAGACTGTTAGAACCTGACCTATATGGGTTTTTGTGTGCTGATACCGATATTACAGAGTAAAAGATTTCTGATACGACAAATACAACTGAATGTTTTGAAGTTTATTTAGTAGGAAATTAAGCTGAGTTTAATGGTAGCTTCAAGCACTTAAAATGCATTATTATCACCGAATAATCTATAAACCAGAAACCATGGTTAAAGAGAAAAGAGAGAAGTTAAGTGTGTAAGTGGATGAAGATGAGCAGCAAAAAGAGAGGGAGGATTATGAGAAGATAAGAGAAGAAAACGGTTTGCAGAGAACAAAACTGATGCACTTACAGTGAGTATCACGATGGGAATCATGACACCCCCTAACAACTGATAGGAGATGGTCTCCTCTCTATCGGGGTACTTGATTGAATCATCATTACAGAAAAAGCCCCGGTGGAAAGGAGTGTGTTTCACATTTAGTATTACAAACGGGAGTCCAGCTAGCAGAGAAGCAGTGAGAGAAAAAAAAACATGTTATAAAGATGTCACACTGGCTGAGAACCATGACCATGATGCAACAGTGTCTGGCTGTGAGGAGATGGTAGCCATGCGAGAGTTGCGTCCTCTGCTACAATCCACCATTTTCTGCAAATAGTAATTGTTATAAGCATCAGCAAGGAAACAAGACAGTTGAATGCTGTTAAAGAGTGAAAGTTAAAAGAGCAAAATCAAACTTTGGAGCACAAAAAAAAACATTTCTGAGGATGTTAATGCGACGGGAGCTCTGTAACTTTCTCTTCTAGGCTGTGATAGGTGCAGTTGACGGGTTGTTGAATTGGGGATGCAGTTGACTTCGCTCCAGCAGACCCACGGGAAGCTGAAGCTGTCAGCATGTGAGAAGAAGCAGTGGTCTCACATACTGTGCATCCCTTACATGACTGAAACTCTACACCACACTACGCACTTTCACTCATGGTTTTTTAATTTCTCTTCCCTTCAGGAATAAGAACAAACTTTACATCTCATTATATCTGACTTTCAAGTTGTTAACACTCTAACTTCCCACACGCTCTCCTGCAGTTTCCTTTGGCAGACGGTGAGTTGTTTGAATATTAGACAACAGTAACATTTAAGAATAAAAATAGTGCAACAGATTGAGGTTATCAATACTCGTGATACATACAAGACTCGATGGAAGAGATTACCTACTGATATCACAAAGTAATAAGAGGGCACACACACACAGAGCAATATCTCAGGAAACAATCGCTCTGGTCCAGAAGAGCATTCCAGCTATTTTAAGGAACAGAGGGACACAGCATGCAGCCTGCATGTGTTGCACTAATTAACAACAGCAAGACATATTTAACCAAAGAGATTAAAAGAATAACAAGACTGGCCTTCCTTCATATCATCCATTTTCAGATTAACACATTCATTTGTGGTTCTGGTCTTTTGTGTGGGGTTGAGTTTGTGTCTGGACTAGATGTTTAGTGCTGGACTATTTACATATATGACAATATTAGAAATAGTTTGGTAGGTACATATCAGTTGTGTTGTATTTTATCTGTAGTCTGAATATTGAATGGTGTATCATATTAACCTATGAGCTAATTGTAATAAAAGTTTTGTGGCAGAAAGCCTCATAAATCCTGTGGCAAGTGAGATCAAACAAACCTTTGTTCTAGGACTGTTTCTGATCATGCACGCGTGTGTGTATAGATGCAGCAGAATTTATTATTTGTTACAACGTATTTTAAGTGGACATCCTCCTTCATCTTCAGCTTAGTGAAACTAACGTACATTTACAATTTTTGGTTTTCATAACAGTGACAGTTCTGTATCATCTGCAGTATCTCAAGTCAACAGGAAGCTGATCATTATGGAGATGTGTTGGCTTTTAAACGTACTGGTCTTGCTGGCTCTGAGTCCTAACACAAAGGAAAACAAGTGTAACTTATAACAATGACTTATGCTTTCCATGTAGATGTGCTGGCACACGAAATCTTACCACACGCTCTGGCACACCTTGGAATGCTCAATTGTCATGAGTTACACCTGTGGCTGGTAACCCATTTTCCACGAGACTGGTCGTGTCTACACTACGTCATGACTCCTACTTACGCAGCTAATGGGCAGAGTGAAGCCCACAGTGTAGAGAACTGTGGAGGTGATAGTGCTGCTGTGGAACGGGTACTTGATGCTGTCGTCGTTACAGAAAAAGCCCCTCTGGTAGGGGCGGATCTTACCCAGGTTAAAGGCTGCCAGAGGCAGACCTCCTGTGGACAGAGATCAGGGGGAGTTAAGGCTGGAAGAAGTCAGACATGGCAGAGAACGTGAGGGTGCTGAGGGACATGGGTGCGGGTCTTCAACTATGTAATCTTTCGGGTGGAGGTGAAAGACCCCCAACCTTTCTAACAACTGAATTGAGAAAATGATTAGCTTGATTATATGTGTGTTATTGGTACTAACCCCGATGAAATGTTTGTGCAATTATGTAGAGGGTTGTTAAGTCTTTGGACGGACCTCGACTGAAACTGGTGTGAAAGGAGCTGCAGAAGTAACATAACACTTCCTAAAGATAAAACCATAAAGTTAATGGATTTGTTTCCACAGTGCAAAGTCCATAGAGTGTAACACTCCCGTCATTTCTCTGACTGTTAACCATCAGTCGTTCATCCATTTGAACAAAAATTGAGAGTCTGTTGTATTATTGCATATTAACAGCCCCTGTCTAATAAAGGCAGAAACGACTGCACCCACAAACTGTCTATGAGCGACTTCAAACTAACTTCTCTCTCTGGTATTCTTGTTCTGTCGCTTCTGCAGCTGTTCACGCTGTCAGCTGTGCTATCCAAAATTTGATGGGCAGCAACAGCTGGAGACGCCAGTGAGTCAGAACAGAAACAGGCAAACGGCAGGACATGGGCAAGACCCCACTGTAACTTTCTAACAGTGTTACACTTTAATTTGCTCTCATCTGCAACCAAACGGCTTCACAACACATAAAAGAGAAATAAAGAAAAATGTGGATATATGGAAACATAAATACATATTTCCAAGTAATATTTGATCAAGACTCAAAAGCAGCCGCTCAGTCCCTGCTCATACATTTCAGAAACTCACATTTATCGTGTTTATGTTCTCAATACATCTATGTTAGTGTTACATGCAGCCGAGCATGACTGCTGGTAACAGCCTCAGTCTGGAGACTCTCACAGATGATTATAATTTAGTGTGTGCGTGCATGTGTCATTAGCAGAATAATCAAGTTGGCGTCTGCATCAGTCGTCCAAACAGCTCACTGAGAGTGTACACACACTGCTCCTCACTGCACATATGTAGCCTGGGAGTTCATCACCAGGTCAAATCCCCTGCACTCAGTCAACTTTTTGTTGGTGGGGTGTTTGACCTTCAAAGTGCAGAGCGACGCATGTGTTCAGTAATTTTTTTTTTCAACCATCATCGGTTTAGTTTAGAGGCAATTATGGTGCAACGTTAAACACTTGATAAACAGCGAAACATTTTTAAAAATCTGAGGTAGATCAATTATGTGTTATATCTCCTCACTGAGCTTACACAATGCAAAAGCATTATATCAATATATTCGACTATTGTTATATTGCTATTGATGGAAATTATATAGTGATATAGTTGTATAGCCCAGTCCCACTTTAGACTGCACAAGTGGAGCCATAGCCTTATGAGTCATCGTACAAATCAATTATCCATAATTAGATTTGAAGCCTTAAGAGGCCATGTCTCAGCAGAACTGAAACATGGCCGCTCTCAGAGAGGCTGAGAGATGTTACAGAAATCTTAAACATGATATGAGTGAACTGTATTAGCCTGACATTTACTTGTCTTACAGATTATATAATGAGAATGAGGTGAGCGATGTCAGTGTCGGTTTAAAACATAGACTGAGAGGTAGTAGTGCATCTTATAATCACTTTTCTCAGCAATACCCTGAACTGATGTAAAACATTTTGTTGTTTTGTTTGATTTAAGGGAGTAGAAACCAGTTTATGGACAAACAGTTCAATTTAAGTTTGAATGTTTGAGTGAATTAATGAGCTGTAAAATGTCTGACACGACATGTGCTGCAATAATGACTGTGTTATTCGATTGGTCATTGTTTCAAAGCAAAAATGTGAAATACTCATCAATTCTACCCTCTTACATTTGAGGATGACAGGTCACAAGTGATGGTAAACATAATTATCTTTGGATTTTAGCCTGTTTATCAGAGAAAACCACATATTTTGAACACATCACTTACAACTCTGCAAACTTACAATCATCATTTAACACAATGTATTGGCCAAACAACGAATCAATTAATTTAGAACATGATCTGCAGACAATTAAAATTATAAATTATTATTAGTAGCAAACTCAACTCAAATACTTATTCTCCATTGGAAATCAAATGTACAGGTACACACACTTGGATTATTTGGAGTAAATAAACATTTGTTAATGAGACAGTAACCATAGGAACCATATACTGTGTGTGATATGCTGATTGAGTTACTGCAGAGACGTGTTGTGTTTAAATAAATTTAAAACAGCACCACTATTAACCAGAGGGCATTTTAAAACCAGTAAAAGACTGTGGCGGTCATTTGCATACAATGGAAACACAGAACATGGAACACTGCATCGATTAGCCTTCACTGATCAGATACAACAACATAAAGCGATTTATTATCGGAAGAATGAGAAGAGTTAGAGTAAATGGTGTTAAAGTCTCAGTAACGCTGAACAGTCACCACTCCCTTCACGCGACTATTAAATATCCAAAAGAAGGTTAAGATTAGAACAGATCGCAGATCGGTTTATATGGGAAACAGCCGCAGGAGACAGATACACACTCACCCAGGATGAGACAGGCTACGTCGAGCAGGACAAAGGGGATTCCTCTGGTCTCGAACATGTTTGCTCTCGTCTGTCCCGGACTCGTGTCCCAGGCTTCCGCTGCTGTTCACTGATAAACACCGGACTGAGGTGGAGGGGGGTGGGGGGTGAGTGGTTGCTCCTCCTCGGGACTTTGCTGTTTAAAGGGAACAGCAGATAAGGAATGTGGACGCCCTCTTGTTGTGACTAACACACAGACCAGTCCGCCCAGGAAGAGGCTCGTCTGACGGAGAAACGCGTCGACCTGTCGGGTGGCGGAGGACCGCAGCTCAGCCGGTGCAGCCACAGCTCAGCCATGTCTGTTCTTAAAGCTGGGAAATGGAGCCGGTTGTCTCTGTCATGCAGGAGGGGACAGTCTTCACCTGCACGGAGACACCGGGCTGTCCTCCGGAGGAGGTTCGGAGCCGGTGCCGGAAGAGCCTGTTTGACAGATCCAGAGATATCCACAGGAGGCCGAAGCTGCAGGCCCGGTGCGGCCTTCAGGGACAAGCGGAAAGATATTACCCACATGATGACCTCACGCCACTTCATACATTTCACAATACTAATTCAAAACAGAAGGTGCACCAAAAATGAAATTTAACAATGAGGACACACAACAAAACTATGGAAAAACTCAAATAGCGCACATTGGAACTTCAGAAAGTCAGATGCAGGTAACCTGTTTGATGCACGAACACTCCTGTAAATAGGTCATGATTGAATAATTACACAGTTAC